ATCAATTATGATCCTAATCATGATGAATGGACAATATCACATGATTTTTGAAACTTTTTTGGGTGGCGATTTTACCCCGGTCAAAAATTCCCCATACGTAATGTGAATTTAAACAGTTTTAAAGCACTCCTATATGTTATTCTTATATTAAACTCCAATTAAAATTTTAAAAACGATTACGTACATGATTTTAGTGGTGATACTAGGTGGGTTTATATGCTATAGGATAAGTTTATAAACAATAGTTTAATTTCTACATTAGCTTTGTATCAAATAAGAAAATTTTTAGATACGAGAAAAGGCAAGAATTTCATTTTATCCTTTTACTTTAATATTTGAATTCAAAGCTTCAAATCATAAGATTGTGCACTTCGCTTTCTTTTTGTTTCTTCTACTATCTTTACCACCTTCTCTATTCTGTCCTTTACCACCTTCTCTATTCTGTCTTATCATTTTAACTACACTATAAAATGCCCTATCTACATTAACACATGTTTTTGCAGAACCTTCTATAAATTCGCACTTAAGCCTTCTTGCCATATTCATGCCTTCTTCCCTTGAAACCTCACGTTCAGTTATTTTGTCACATTTATTACCAAAAAGCATCAATGGAATGGAATCAGTGTCCTTTACGCATATAATTTGTTCATAAAATCGTTCTATACGATCAAATGTTGATCTTTCAGATATAGAATATACGAGTAGAAAGCCTTCACCATCCCTAAAAAAGAACATTTTTATTGAATCAAGAGATCTATTGTTGATTTCAGCATAACTTCATTTTTTAGGAAAAGCTTTACAATTGTGAATATTATACCTGATCCATTGTTCGCGTAGGGCTGTATATAATTCTATTAAAATTTAATCATAGTAAAGCGAGTAAATATTTATTTGAAAATTATTTGGAAAAATACATGACATTATATTGGGACAGTCTCTACCATTATTAGTATTCGAGACCTTTAATAAAATCAGATCATTTATTGGAATATATTCTTTGAATAGACTATCTACCCATAGTTTAAGTTTTGTGGCATATTGTTATGATTCGTCGCAATTGTCTGTCAAAGTTAATATATCTTAAATGTCAACATTATACTAAATGATTAAATATCAATTTTTTGAATTTAAGAATTGTTTACGAATAATAATAACGGTAAAGACTGAATTATTTAGTAATTTTATAAATTAGTAATTTTAGCAATCAAACATCTCCTAGCATGATTAACTAATCCTAACAAATATAATTGAATGATACAATTATTTAATAATAATGCAAACCTTGTCCAGCAGTATCCAGCACTTCTAAAACACAGGCCTGGTCATCAATAACCACTTGTTTTCGATATGAATCCTCTATTGTTGGATCATAAGTCTAATTACAGATACTTGTTTAGTTTATAAATATTATACTGTAAGTCTACATTAAGCAGATATTGAACTACAGAAACACAAACCTCTGTTTAAACATGAAACAATTCAATACCAATTATTTAAAATGTTCAATTAGATTAAATTCACGAATACAGCCGACTCTGTATATAATGAACCTTTCTGGGCTTAAATAATAAAATTTCATAACAGTTCGGTATAAAACGGTGCCATAAAATCTTAAGTAAACAGTATTTTCTATTGAGAACTTTTATTTCCCCAGAACCGTCAGTTCGTTATAAAAAGAGTTGACTTAAATTAATGACATGCCTACCAACAAAGTGATTTAAACAATACTATAATTAAGAATGCCAAATAGTCCATTAGCATTAAAAAAGCAAAGCTTTAAATTTTTAATAATCAAAATTGAATAAGTAGGAGTGCAGTAATTTAACTAACTTGAATTGTAAGAGTCGTCTGAATATAGAAAATTCTTCAGAAAATTAACATCAATTTCAACTAGTTAATTCAAATGCTCATTATAAGACGTTCTTACTTTTCCAACGCCTCCATCTCCAAGAACAACTATTTTGTATAGCATCATCGTGGCAAAAAACACTAAATTTGTTGTTCACGACGATTCTTACAATTAATGATGAGTTTGTAGCGTAACATAACACAGTCATCTATTCCAATGCAGTGTTGTACATGGACACATATTTTTGGACACGGCATATTTGGACGGAAAATACTTATTTGTGCGAGTGAAACAAACCCAAAAAAGGAAATTCATTGCTGAAGTTATATGCTATAGAAATAAACGTTTACTTTCAATATAATTTCTGTCACTTTTAATTAGAGCCTCAAGACAGGTTTAAACATTCAATTTCTTGTATTTTCGCTTTTTTCGTTTTTTTTTTCATTTTTCTTCGCTTCGCTCACGTGTAGGGTTGATCCGGGATAATCACATTTTACGTTTTCCGCTAAATTCCCTGTATCACTCGCACAAATAGGTGTGCGATATATTATGCAAGGTATATTGCAGTTAGGGTTACGTTTATGATGCAGTATTGGTTATTTAGTGGTTAAAGAATATTAATATAATTTATTCAGCATGTAGATCATTTCCAAGTCTATACTAAACGCACCGCACCGGCTTTAACCGACCCAATATTTGGTGAAAGTTAATAGTAATGAGTTTTTGTGTAACAAAGTTGATCGACATGTTCATTCCTCTATATAAGTGATAAGGCATGGTAATGAATAAGTATCTTAATGCATACGAATAAATTTCACTAAAGCAAAAATTTCGAATTGGTGGAAATGATACAAAAAAGGTGGAGGATAAAGCTCTTAAGATACATTTCTATAGACAAATTATTGCGTATATGTAAATTAGTATTTTGTAAATCAAATTATATAATGTGTTGAGTTTACATGGATTATAGGTGACATTAATGTTATATTTTAACTAGAGATCGTATTCATTAAAAAGTCTGATTAATCAAGGTTTTCAAATGATTTTAGCGATGGTAAACGAATACAGTGCGCGACATCTAATCACATCAAAAAATCTTTAATTTTTTTTAAACCAAAGAACTAGGAATAATACAATTAATATTTAAAAAAAAAAACTTTCAATAACTTTATTCTTTTATTTAAAAGAATATATCTATAGAAGGGTTTTTTTAATTTATTTTCTCTTAAAATTACTATTATAGTAAAAAATTTCAGTACTACTATAAAAAAAACAAATCTTAATTAAAAAAAATTGAGCCAATTAGATTTATTTTTGTAAATAATTATAAAAAATTTAACCAATCAGATTCATTGTTATAAGTAATGATCTGCAAAATTTTCAGCACCTGTGATGTCTTTAAATATCCTGCGTAGTGATACAGGCCGATGCCAAATGCTTGGGCTGACCCGACCGACAAATTACTCAGCCCGGTTGACCGGGCAGGCTGACCATATTAGTAAAATTTTTAGTCAACCCAAAATCACAAAAACATCCTATAGAATGAACTCCTATCGGTAATTTCGTTTTATGTTGGTTGACTGTCTATTATCTCAAAAATTTCCGACATTACATTATCTTTTAATTTTAGGTAGCGTTCCCATAACCAATTGTTCATTCCCGGTAATTTTGCCAATCAAAATTTAAGATCACGTGTCAAAACAAACGTGTTTTGCTAAGTAAAAAAGTTACGCGTAAAATGAAAGTCAAGAAACCGTGTTATAGTTAGGGATAGGATTAGAACAAAATAGCGCCTATTAGTAAAACATCACGAGGCAATTTTTAATTATTCCGCAGAAGACGGTTTCCTAATTAAAAATTAGTTATTCTTGTTTTTTGTAAAAA